TTCCATTCCTTTTGATAGGTTTGGGGAAAATACAATGGAGGGGGTACGATCCAGCCCAAATTTCCTTGAAAGGTTCCAGGAGGGGGCTTGAGGGTTCCCCGGGCCGCTCCCCCCCAGGGGGTTTGGGGGGCAAAAGTTTTGGGTTTTGGTTCAGGTTTAGGGAGGAAAAAAGGGGTTTTGGAAATGGGGCACATTTACGGCAGGAAAGCCCCGTTTCCCCGTTGTTTGAATTGATTTCCCCCCCCGGGCAAGTCCCCATGGATTTCTTTTGAAAAAAGTTTAGTTTCCCCCCCCCCCCCCCCCGCCTGCCCAAGCGCGAACTGCGGCATCACCCCCCGAGTCTACCGCCTCCGACGATATCAAGTTTTGAGAACTTTCGACCTTTCCCTTCTACGCCACTTCACACACAGAAGTCGACATGTGATATGCCCAAACCCAAAAATTTCGTGTTCAAGACAAGTTAATTTAGTAAAAACACGTTCCAACCCACCATTCATAGTGAATTATTTGGTGTCCACCATCTCGGATACCTATCCCCCCATGCTCGTGGGGCGTATTTTGACGCGATGCCCCCTTACCTCCTTCCCTTCCCCTCTCCCTCCCACACCCTGAACATGTTTTTTATGCCAATTAGGAGTTCAAGCCGGTGCCGACAATGACAGACGTCTCCCGCCAGAGGAACGATGATCGCATCAACGATTGATGGAACGGAAAACGGCTCATCATGCTATGCGAAGAAGAACGCATACTGGTGCTATGCGTGGGGTTCGAAAAAGAAAAATGCCTGCTCGTGCTGCACTTGGGGTTAGAAAAGAGCGCCCATACGGCTGGCTTTGTGCGGTTGGGGAACAATGGTTATCAAACACGAACAACTTTTTGCGTTTCATTATTGTTGCGTGTTTTCTTCACACGCTTCTTTTTCCGACGAGAGTCATCCCGGCAGGGGAAGGTTAGACTGAAGTTGGTGGGAAGTTGTTTTGTTGCTGATTGTCGACAGAGCAATTCACACAGCGTCGGTGTGTTTTGGACACACGTCGTAGCTTTCCCCTCAAAGGCTACGCCAATTCGGCGAACGAGAAATTAGTACATGTCGGTGGTTGTTTTCATTTCCGGCGCTATTTGTCAGACGAGAAATGATTACATCGACTAACTTTTTTCGTATGCCGTGTAATAGGTTGTACAGGGTGCCCCACGGGGGGGGGCAAAGCTGTAAGAGCGAGCGTGTCCGCGCCAATTTTTGACGTGTGCTTTTCACATTTTGTTGGTTGTTGGTTTCTTTCGTCCCAAGATGCTTGCTTCATGTCTTTGTGCCGCAGGGTAGCACCGGAGGCCTGCGTCGCGTTGATGCAGATGCCGGCTGTTGTTGTTGCTGCTGGTGTGGTGGTGTGGTGGTGGAGGTGGTGGTGGGGTTTGGCGAGTTGTGCAACATCCGACAACATTGTCCGGTGCTTAAATTTTTTGTATGTGATGAAGACCCCGCCGTGCGACAAAGAAGGCGGTTTGAAGGCGAGGGGTGGCTGTGCTTGATGTATTGCTTTTTTTGGCTTGATATTGGTGTGTACGGTATGTGACCAGAAGAGAGATGGCATAGAGAACCCGTTGTCAGGGGTGTTGTTGTGTGTTTGTCTGCACGGGTAAATCACTTCTGACCTGGTAGCCGTGTGCCGTGTACGTCGGGGGTGTTCGTGCTCGTGTTTGACGTCGAACCTTGCTGTTCCATGCAGCACCGGAAAGAGACTGCTGTGACAAGATACAGATGTTACTTCCGTACGAGCGGCGCGTGGCGTGGCGACATAATTTCGCTGGATGGATTACGCTTTTTTTTCGTCTGTCGCGGCTACCCATGTAGAAGATCGAACGATGACGCTCTGCTCGAGGCTGGAGTCCTTTCGCGGGCGATAATGCGTTTGGGAGAAAACGACTATCGATACCTCGCGATTCTTCGACACTATCGAGCGAGAAAACGTGTCACATTCACTCGCCTCGCGTAGCTTGTTTTTTCGCTTTGATCTCGGTGTTCCATCCAATCAGTATCTGGCAGCCCGCGTCAACCTCGAGACAAGCCAAAACAAGTCCCGCATCCACAGAAGAAGCCCACCCGTTGCAAGGCCTCGTGTTACACTACCGCGAGATCTCGTCACGATACAATGTTGGTTGTTGGATGCTGTATCTTCGTCTGAACGTGCTACTCCCAAATGTATCAACCAAACTCCCAAATTTAACTCATTAATAAACAAAATACGAAGGTGTACCTATTCTGGTAAAAGCCAATCGACGGATACCCTGCGAATCGGGTCTTCAACAATCACAATCTCCACCGACAGAATTCCCTCAACTGGGAACCTCTTGTGGCCAGGACGGTAGGATCGACTCCAAGATGTGTCCATGGGAACAGTGTCCAAGTCAGGAGGAAAAATGTACCCCAGGAGATTCGAACCAGTATCCTGCCACTGACGCCGTATGTATCGAAAGTGTACCGATTCTGGTAAAAGTCAATCGACGGATACCCTGCGAATCGGGTCCGCCTTGAACGTCAGGTCCACAGTGAATTAGACGGAATTCATTCATTCGCCAAGGAACTACCACATATAATTTCCCCAAGGACGCCAAAGCCCTCGAGCGTGTGGTAGTGTTGTGTATGAGGGGAAACGGTCACGGCAAGCATCCGACACAGGAATACAGTCAGCCCCGCAAATAGACGAACGGTCCATCACTCCATCCATCTCAGAAACAGAGAAAAAAACACTACGATGTGGATGGTGGATATGGTGTTGGTTGGACACGAGTGAAATAGGCAGACGCGACACAAGTCGCCACTCACATCGAAAAAGTTGTATACGACATCACCACTTGAAAAGGGCTGCTTGAAAAGCACCTCGCACACGCTTCGAGCCCTACGACTGACTATGTTATGACACCAAAGACCAAGCTACGAAGACAAGAACAAACTACAAACAATGTCGTACACCCTAATATGGCAAGCGGAAGGCAAAAAGAATGTTGCCAAGCAAGTGACAAACGGGGGGGAAGCGCTGACGACGCCTCACAAACTGGTCCACACCATCGTACGTGCTGACAGCATCGAACGAGACGACATGCCAATAATGGCATGAACAAGGGTCGTGGTGACTGGGACAACCATCGCTGTCGTAAAATATGAATCGCCGCGCATGCGTTCGGAGGTCAGCTATTAATGGTAGTGAAAAACATAAGGTTCACAAGCGCCCCCGAGGTAAAACCTACCCTATATCGTACGAGACTACGCTGCACTGCTTCGTATTCGATGCCGGCCGTTGAACAACAGAACCAAGCAAGAGCTTGTATCTGATGCCGGTTGATCGATAACCGTCGCCAACACCTAAATAGTAGAATATGGTACAAAGAAAACAAACCGCTTTTAAAGACGGGACCGAATCCTCGAAGAGATTCAGAAGAGACACACTGGGATAGTCTGCGGTTTCTGAAAAATTCACAAACTACCAAAGCGAGTTGCATTAGCACTTGAGTCCAAACTGCCTGGAACCCAAGATATTCAATTCATACACACGAAAAGAGACCTCACGCCATTTTTTTCCTTGTGTGGTCATCTGATCGATTCTTTCAAGTGGGAACCCACAAGGAATACTTGGAAGCTCGATCTATCACAAACCAATGACATCGTGTCAATTTTTTGGATACATACCTAGACTACAGTACATATCTCCACTCATCCCAGGGTTCTACGTGTAGAACTACGCACTTCCGGGCAGCACCGGTACACGTCAACTACAGTACTACGATCTCATGCGGACGTCGCGAGAGAGTGCGGCCGACTGAAAGCGATCCCAAACTATTACAAACTGTGGTGACAAGGGCGACCACTCCGAGTGCTGCATGTCCACATGTATTGTATGGACTGAAGCGAGGCTACTTTGACGTTGGGGGGTCGCCATCAGAACCTTGCCGCTCTCGCCTCGAAACGAATCACTCTCTGACTATCCACACGGGTACCCTTGAACCGCCACAGCCCTTTCCTAGATCCCTCCCAACCGGAACCGACAGGGGGTCTCTCTTGTTGGCGTCACACGGGAGACACTGGATCCTTCACGACCTGCAGCGCCCGACAGACTGCCGTCAACCCCGTGGCCGCTGTTCATATCGGGGGCATCTCCCACCCCCGACCGAAAGAACCCCCTCACACGCGTCAGCGGGCATGGCACACTCCGGCGGCGATAGCTGCATTTGAATGTAGACTGAATAGCAGGGGGCCGCCTCATCTTGAAATCTTGAGTAGGGAGACACACTCTAAGGTAAACCTCTAAACCTGTTGGACGCGTCCTACGTATTTCGTCGTAAAATCATCGAAGCAGGGCTAAACGTTTTATCCCAAAAGTGCACACCCCTACCGTAGCACCAGTCTGGGAGATACTTGAGGGATACAAATTAATGAGAACATAATGTTCAAACCTTCCTGCTTGCTGTTTAGCGTGCACCCACCGATGTCCCTGCCAACGTTCTCTGGTAAGCGTTTCCCCTAGCCCTTGCTGCACTATTCAACTCCCGTTTAACCACCTCCGACGGACCAGGTGGTCAACTACGACGAAAGGTCGTCCCCACATGATTTACAATATTGTACTTGACACCCTGCAAGCAAGCAATCGGCCTGACTCACGGCTGATCTTATCCTCCGCCCCCCAAAAGATCCGCAGTATCAATCGAGACTACATCTACATAGCAAATCAAGACGAAGCTTCTCAACCCAACGCCAGCGACGCCACGCGTTGTTCTACGGGAAGACCGGGCAACGATATCCCCCCAGGAGGTAAGCGACGACGTCACAGCTGCTACAGAGAGCAGTCACCGCCGTTCTTCCATCGCCATCACATCCATCACTCTCCTCGAAGTGAGTGGCCCTCGTTTGCTAAATCGATTGGCGACGGGCGACAGATACGGTGGCGGCGGCCGAGATAGCATCGTCCGCACCCGCGTCAGCAGGTCGGAAGTCGAGCTTGGAGCGTCTCCTCCTGCGCCTCTGGGAGAAGCGCCAGATCCTTCTGGGCCCGGGTGAACGGCTTGGAGCAAACAACAGCCCGAACAGGGCGTAGACGATGACTGCCGATCGATGTGTTTTATTTTCACATGGGGCGAAAAACAGCGGAATAAACACAAGCCAATGAGGAATATGTCTCAATGTGCATTTGTATTCTCCGTATAACATACAGTAGTCTATTGTTTGAGGGTTTTATCGACAAAGTCAACATGACAAGTGATGAAAATGATCGCTTTGAGTAATGAATCGAAAACAAACATGAATATTTGGGGGAACGAGTCGTTTTCCGTGGAGGAGGTGCTATATACGTGCGCCAGGAAGCCGAGCAGGGCCTCGATGGCCCCATCTATTTGTTGAGAGAGAACGAGATATTCAAGGAGTGAGCATAGAACTGTTTTTTGCCGCTAGGAAAACAGCCAAACCTCGAAGCGAAACAGCAAAGGACGACGGTCGATAATCTTAGGCAAAAGCACAGCGCTTGACTCTCTCACCTAGCATGCCGCCGGCCGCGCCCACCATCGATACGTAGTCGCTAGTGTCGAGCTCCTCGACCGTTTGGAAAGAAAACTCGTTTATGCTGAACGTCGCGAACAGGATCGCCCCGGAGAAGGGATCGGCGTTATCAAACTGAAGCGATTGCTGGCCCGTAGTGGTCACCTAGGGTACGTCAGGCAAACACCCCAAACGAGTCGGAGGAAAGTTGCTATGGGGTTAGGGTGTGCTGCTATTTAGTGAGAATGCATGGCGTCGGCTAGATCGCTACCCGGGTCGGCGGTTGTCGCTCGAATGAGCAAGGCAAGGTGCTGCTGCCACGTGTCACACGCGCCCTGCAACAGCGTGAATTTCGTGTATCACAGAGGGCACCGAATTCTCGCCTGCGTGTACCCTCGCTCGGTCCTGCTGCCCGTGTCCTCGTCGGGCTGTAGCAGGACGTGCTCGGTTAGCTCCAAGGTCTGCAAACGAACGAGGTTTTGGAGGGAGAGGTCTGAGCCCGGACTTGTGTGTACAGCGAGCGGTGACTCGAACCACACGCGTGCGTGCAGCATCCGAGGAATACCAGCAACATGAAAATGGATAAAACTACAGTAATCGTCTTCCAACATGCGTCCAACGTCTCCAAAAGGGGGTGACTTCGACCACGGGTCTCTTGTCCGTGAGAAATGACAACACCGGAACAGGGGAAACGCGAAAATGGGAGCGTGGAAGCCCCATCCGATCTCTGGCGCCGGCGCGGGGTTAACTCTCCACCGCACGGCTCAAGTTTCGTTTTCAAAATAAATCAGTCGTCGCGACGTTGACAAGACACACCCGAGTGATTGGGGCCTGATGTAAGGCCACAATCAAGGCGCGGAAAATTCGCCGAAGAATCGACTACCAGTACTATAGTAGGCAGTTCGTTTGGCAGCACCGGAGCTGAAAGTGCTGTGGATGGACTCACAAAAAAATGCATGTGGAAAATAGCGATGCATGCCGGTCAAATCAAATTCTTGTACTGCAAAGTCAACTACAACTTAGGGGTAACACGGTAAGATGACGAAGGTATGCGAACCAATATTTCAGCAAACACCGGTTTGCCGTTAGACATATTACGGACGCGCGAAAGGCAACGACAGGAGGACCAGGCGGATAACAACTGCGGTATAGCTGCCCTACCAAGCGATACAATTTCCACGTGCAACAGAAAATTTGAACTGCTTCCACCCACTACATCGCCGTCCTTTCTTTTTCCTCCGGCTGACTGATTGAACAACGACTCTCGTCCGAAACACTCCCTTCCCTATTAACAAATGTGCACCGGTGGGGTGTGCGTGTCGAGTTGTTCCTCTGTCACCTGCTCACCACATCGTTGGAGACGACCGTGATGGATTCGGACGCGTTCGTGGCGTCGACGGAGATCCGGTCGTACGGGAGCCTCGCCAGCGTCGCCACCGCGTTTTCTGAGTCAAGGTCGTCGTCTTCATCTCCTTCACCGACAAGGAAGGTGTTGATGAACTGGCGTGTGCTCGACACCGGGGTCTCGGCGACCTCGTCTGACCACAAAACCTGTCATTGATTGGGTCATCGCGATTTTTGCACGGGGCCAACAACAACCCTGTTACGTATTTTTGTGTTGTTCATTTGTTCACCTGGAAGAATCGAAAATGAACCCAGGAAAAGGCAAAATAATTCGGACGTGTTGGGGACTTTTGGCTGCTGCATACGGATATGTTGACCATGTGTGTACAGCGTTGGACGCCGAGCGGACGCCGTATAATTATCTTCCCACCCACCCTTCCCCGGTGACCCATGAGAGAGGCCGGGATATTGGAAAGATGGATTTGTGTACCCGCAGACGTGTCTGATCTTGCTGTTTCGGTGCTCCCCTTAGGGGTTCCCTCAGGGGAGGGCTTGACCGTTTCACTGAAGAGCAAGGCTCGCGCCCCTGAGGACAACACGCAACACACGCCACAGCCAAAGCACAGAACCTGATCACAAACTGTGATCTCGGTTGGTCAACACAAACAACGTTTTGTGCAACACAGCCGGGCGAACTCCCATTCCAGCACGATTCTTGGTTCACATGTATTTCCCATTTTCGTCATTCCTTTCGGCGACCCTCACCCCACAGTTTGCACCTAGAGCCCCCGTGGTCTTTCCTCTCTACGTCAAGGTCTTCGATCCGGATTACGATGGAAGGACTCCATTGTCGTCCCAAGACTTCGTTTGGAGCACGGGAAGTGACTCGCAGTTCTGCCTTCCCCCCTCCCTGTGCGTTTCGTGTTGCCAAACTTTTTCCGAATTCAGGGTGGAGGGTGGGGAGGTGTACCTCGTCGTACCGCTTTTGTGCAATAAAAACATGAACATAAGCGTCATGGCCGAACCGGTGTAGCCTAAGGATAAGAAGCTCACGTATACGGAAGCATGCAGGGACTGCACGTCCCCGGAGGCGATCCCCTCCCAGTCCACCGTCAGCCTCGACAGCGGGATCGTGGGACACCAGGAGTGCGCGGTCGTGTCCATCATCGCCGCCAGCTGAGCCGTGGCTGTTTCTGACGCCGTCGTTGTCGCTGCTGCTGCCGTTATCGTTGTTGTTGTTGTTGTTGTTGTTGTCGTTGTGGCGGCTGCTGCAGCAGTCGGTGGGGGGGTCCCTCCGGACGCCGCCGCCGCCGCCGCAGCCGCCGCCGACGGCGACGGGGCCGTTGCGGCTGCTGGGGCTACGGTCGGTGTTGCCAACGAAGCAGTAAACGATTCCGCGTCGTCTTCGAACCCCTGGGTTGGCACCACGGACGACAGAGAAAAAAATGTTGAAAGGGACGGTTTCAACACCCCGTCGAAAATTGCGATGGGCATCGACCGCCACAGCCCACATACTGGATTTCAACCATTGCCTCTTGCTATCGACAATAAACACCAATCCGAAAAACATGTGAACGACGAATAGCTAGCCTGTGTACAATTGTATGTCGGGACAGCGGCGTCATCGTCCACACCCTGTGTGCCACACTAACAGAACACGCTTCTATTGGCACAGAATACAACAACGTATTCGGGCTTGAAAACAACCACGAACAGGGACTACGGTGAACAACTTCATGTGCGATGCCTGGACAAGAAGAACCAAAAACCTCTACGGCAGTGGCTGTCAGTAGCTGCCAGAGAAATCAAAACCTAGCCCTGGGGAAGTTCTGCACCCTCCAGTCGCGCGAAACGGAAACAAATGAAGCAACGACCCGAAGGGTGGAAATCCCTCGATGAGTCGGTTGCGGCACGACCAGAGCGGAGTGTTCTGCTCACGCGTGTCGTACACAGCCCTCGCTTTTACATGTACCGCAGATATCGGGGGGGGGGGGGGGGGGTCATCCTTACCGACAGAGCAGAGACGAAGAGCTGCATGCCTTCCAGGCACTGCAAGGGGTCTCCCGCGTCGCACCCCCCCCCCGCGGTAGGACAAAGAGCCACGTCCGGAAAGCCGAAGGGCTCGGCCTGCACACCGATCAAATTTACATGCACGCACGCGCGTTGGATGTTTCGGAAAAACGGTTGGATGGGGTGGTTTGCGCTGTGAGGCGGGATGGTATCAAAAGCTTGTCGCACCAGTTACAATAATGAACAAGGACGAGCAGGGGGCCGATGGTGTTCGTCGTTCTTTAAACCCTAGATAAATGATTAACTAATGAAAACCAACCCCATCTCTGTTCCTATGTAGATGCAGATAGATAAAGACGTAGAAGCGGTTGTCTGTGCCAGCGAAATCTCGCGACAGAACGGTGTACCCTCCCGCGGCCTTACTTCATCACATCCCTTCCCCCGGGGATCTGTTGACACCTCGTCTCAATCTTGTACGAGAGGCAGCCAAAACTACGCCCTTTTCTTATTTCTGTTCTTCTTGTTCCTCTCGCACGTGTCTCCCTTTTCTTTCGCTCTTGTTACCTTTTCATAGATCCTGACGGGAGGGTTCAACCTGTGACTACGCCCTTTTCTTATTTCTGTTCTTCTTGTTCCTCTCCCACGTGTGCCCCTTTTCTTTCGCTCTTGTTACCTTTTCATAGATCCTGACGGGAGGGTTCAACCTTTGAGAACGATTGCACGCGACCAGCTTCACAACCCAGAAGATGACCCCGCCCAGTAACGCCACCCACGCTACGTTGGCCTTGCACCGGTCGGCCGTTACCGTCTCATGCGGGGGCCTGAATGGCGGAGGGGAGGGGGCGGCGGATAGTTCACTGGTTGAACGCAGTTCCCCACAACGCATCTCGTCCGTTTCGGGTCAACAACGTTCGTTGGCTTTCTGACACGAGACTGCTCAATTCGACGTCTGGGTGCGCTCTCAAGGGGATCACTCTCTCCCGCCTTTTCGTAACCTCGTTCGTTCGTCGTTTTTCTTCGGAGAGAGGGGGGCAGAGTGGGTTCAACACACTATTCATACACACGCGAGCTTGACAGATTGCCGATCGATCCGTCCATCCGTGTGCTACGGAAATCAAGTTATTGCTTCTTCCAACACTCGACGAGCCATGTTCTTCCACAAGTGGAGAAAAACCCGATTCCTCCGTTGAGGAATGTGCGTACAATGTATGACATCAACAATGACCAAAGTGTCACAACCTTACGACATTTTGGCCGTCGTCGCCGTCGCCGCCGCCGTCGTCGTCGTCGTCGTCGTCGTTGTTGTTGTTGTTGTTTTTGTTGTTTCCACATTGAATGACACTTTGATTAATGGAGCCGCTTCTCATTCCGTAGCCGTTGTGGCGTGATTTTCGCTATGTCAGAAGTTGAGTCCCAAGTGATACAACAGACCTGGTAGCCGCGCCACTGATGGTGTTTCGTGGCGGACAGCAGTGCTTGCGATAATCACTCGGCCTACAGCAGTCCCGATATCAGTCAGCCTCGAGGCAGGGTCGATATCCAGAACGCAAAGACCAGTCGAGTTTTATTCTTATTTCTTGCGAGGCGCTTCAGCCAGACGGGCCGCTCCGGAAAGCGTTTCCTCGCGCGGATCTGTCGTACCCACATCACGAAACAGGCTGCTAGTGCCCGCCGAAAAGGGGGGGGGGTCTTTTGTCCGGAATACCAGCCGTCTCATCGTGTCTTTTTTACTCACCACAAACTGTCGACAGTCTCGTCCCGACAAAATTGGACCCTCCCAGCGCCGCCAAAGGTTTGCCTGGTGCTGTTTGATCTGTTGATGGTGGCGTTATCTGCCGAGCGCGTGGTCTCCGACGAAGTCTTGGGCGCCTCGTCCTCCTCTCTGAGCGGCAAACAAACCATGACTCATTTTATCCCCAACTGATTTTATCGTGATGTTGATGTGTACATCTAGCATTTGCTCGGCCTGCTCCAACGGCGATATATTATGCTTCGCAGGGTCAAACAACATAAGATATACTCGCCCACACTGGAAGACACATCCTCCATCAAAACGTTTTCAGTCCAAGTCTGGGCAGCTATTGCCGGATACATTCGTGCCTCAACACCGGAGAAAGCGCACGAAAACGCCAAAGCGTTCCCCGAACGCTTGTCAAAATGCGGTTTTCGCTTTTTGCTACCTCTTCTGTCCTTTGAGCTCGTCGGTGTTGTCCTTGATTCCGATGGGAAGCCCCGTTACTGGCCTGAAATGCGATGGCGCTCCGTAAATCGACATCTTTGGACCTCGCTGCGGAGACGAAGCCGCACAACGCACCACCACAAGAGGATATCGTGGCGGTCAGGATAGGATTTACCCTGCGAGTTTGCGTTCAGCAGGGGGCGATGGTTGTAGACGACGAATATACACGTTGCGGGCGATGGTAGGAGGAACGTTGGAAGGTTGATTTCTTCACCACCTGCTACCGTGCACGTCGTTACTTTAGTGTGTACCGCGGCGACCGATATGAATCACGAGAGACCATCAACGCGACATTGGATTGATGCGCGGGTGACGATTCCAAAACACGGAAGGGGCCCAACACCTTTGCTTTGTAAATGATGAATGGATGTGCCAGTCATTTCACACGCACCTACTGCTGTAATAGACTGACTTTCACAGCGCTTGAACACGACCCCTGCGTGAAAATTAAGGGTATCATGTACAGCTACAATACACGCAACATGATTTTAGGTGTAAGTCACATTCAAACGAGGGGTGCAGGGACGGCTAGTGGTTGTATTCATTGTCCCGATGCTTTCATTTGCGAATGCTTGCGAATGTAAGCACAACCTTTCGCACTTCTAGATCGGGACCAAAAGACGTGTAGCTTTCAGTGTGTGGCAAGAATGTTATCGACAAAAAACGAGCGCGCCTAGTTCCGTACACAACCCCAACGGGTGCCAATTAGTCTACTAAAGTGTACTGCCGCCAGCTGTTTATTTGTTACGTTTTTTCCCCTCTGTCGGGTCTACAGCAGTAATGGTATGTATATACCTCTGTGCACTTATTCTTCGCCGCATTTACTTCTGGCGGCAGCTGCTCGTGGCAGCACAATGAGTACGGTCGCGGAGGATATTTCTAGTTTCTACCCACACCGTGCGTTAGCTCCAATACAACGCACCTCAAACAGCACAAGATGTGTGGTAACCATTGCGTGAACTCTGCGACCAATTCCGAACTCCTTAGAGAGAGACACCCCGACGAAAATGCTCGTATGATAGTCTATGCATTTCCAGCGGCGCAACATTCCATCAAACTTCGAATGCAAAATAAAATAAAAAAAGCAGCTTGCGCATCATCTGAATGCGTATGATGACAATACCCATGATGCAACTCTCTTTCCCCCCAAAGTTGCGTGGTGTGCAACCTCCCAGGAAGTAGGAGCGCTGCCGTCAGGCATATGCTACGTGTCAAACCCTATTCTCCTGGCACAAATAGTTACATGGTACAGCGCACCGCGTCCGGATAATTAATTGATCATGGGTACATATTTTTGTTCTTTTTTCCGATGACTGGTGCGGACGCATGAGCGCGTTCGCTCCTCCAACTGCAAGCTGGAGGAGGCAGAGATGATGTGCCTTGGCGGTTTCCATCGCATGTAGGCCCCTTCACGCTACGGGCTGCCCAACGCAGTTGTGCGGCACAACGCCGACGCTACACCACCCGTCCGGGAGTCTCACTGCCGTCTCACCTTGTCTGATTGTGGCGGGTAGAACAGAAAAAGTATAATGAGCGTCGGACAAAACGTGCAAAAAACGTGCGCGCCTCTTTGTCTCGTGTACCTGTGGGTTGGGGGTTAGGGGGCGTTCTTCACTTTGTACCTCCCCACGCCCATGTTTGGGCGATCTAAGGGACGACGTGGGGTTTCAAGCTCACTCACTCTCACCCTCTCTCTCTCTCTCTCTCTCGATCCCCACCTGCGAAACCTCTGTGTGCCCTCTGCCTGTGTCGTGAGTCAAGTCCACCGCGTTTGCTCTTCCGGGTCAGTTGCTGTTGTATTGCAGTACTACTGCTGTAGCTGTAGAGACTTTGAATGCGTGGAAGGCCGAGGAGTCGACTTCCCTCCCTCCTCTTTTTTGCTTCAAGGCAGGCCTTGATGTGCTGCGTGTGGTGGATGGCGACGAAGGTCGGGGTGGTCGGTCGGTGGGCGGCGGTAGGTAGATGATTGATGGTTGATGGGTTGCTTGCAGTTTTTTAGCTGGTAGGGAAGATGTGTAGAATGCTCTGTAGACATATTGTATGCATAATGTGTACGACCCGACACTTGACACTTGACTGCATCAGTTTGGAACAGCCAATCATTTCGGAATAGACCGATCACGCAGCGGCGGAGAGTTTTCATTTGACAGATCATTGTGGTCAAGCCATTGTCGTTGTGAGTAATCCATGTGGTGCTTACGGGCAGGCAGCCCCGTACTCATAGCGTCACGCAGCATGGTTACAGACAGACGAGTTGGCACGCATTCCCGTGGCGGGTGGATGTAATTTTACGCCCGCCGCGCGTGTTTGCTCTCCTCGGTCTGTGCCCTCTTTGCCGCAGGTACAGCAGTTGTTTGTACTGAAGATACGTGAACGCTGTCTCCTGCCTTTGGACATGTTTTGTATGCATATACATACATAGTCTACACAGCTACAAGTGGAGTCTTGTTATCTGACCCCTTCATCCACCTGTTGTCGAAGGAAACAATTCGAAGTTTGAGCGTCAAAAAACCTCAAAAAACCTGTGGGTGGCCACCGTGGCCCTTTCATACGATGAATACATAGTCTGCGGAGGTTGAGGGTTTTGATAGCTCTCCTCGTGCGAGTGTTGGATTACAACTACACTACCATACAGTCTAACTTCTACTTCCATTAGCAGCCGAGCAGCCGCTCACTGAGTACTGGTATCTCATATGCATAGAATAATGGGTTAGCCTTTGCCTACAATACAGACGAATGCAGAAGAAACACAACAACACCGTCCGGTCAGTCCAAAAAGTCGATCGTACCCATTCTTCATATTGTACACAAACGAACAGTTGATACTGGAAACTGCTACTACTGCTGCCTAGACTGTACTTCATCTGTGTTGCGGTCCGTGCTCTCGGGCACATTTCGGCCATCCCTTGACCTCAAGTACCAACCACCAGTTGGTCAGCTCCCGCTGGTCAGCTCCCGCATCCCGGTGTTCTTCTCAGTGTTTCCTCGGTTCAGCATCCAACGGCGCACTTATGTTTTAGTGTACAACAAGTGCATGAAGTTCACAACCTGGGAACAATTCAGACTGCCAGGTTCCGAACACACAATGCTCTCCCGCGTTCGCGATGAATGGCTGTAAACCCACCAGGAGGACCAACGAGTGCCCGCGGACACGAGCCAAGACAATATTATCGACGGTCCTGGACGTCCATTACAACTGAATGATATTTAAACAAATCCGTCCGTCAAGGCATTTTCTCTCGTGAGCATGAACAAACGACCGTAGTGCAAAACGCCTGGAAGGAGACAACTGCTGCAGTACTTCAGTACGTCCATGAGGCGTTGTTTGCTCAACAATCTGTCGGGGGGGGTACTCACGCAGCATGGCGAATCAACGCCCCCAGGTCCACTCACTATACAGGTACCCGAAGCTTTGCAGATTACGGGATCCTTCACCCCCACTGACTCGTTTTGGGTGGTTTCACCTCAACCCCTTTCAGCGATCTTCTCTCGCTGCGGCTCCGTAGGTCTCTTGTAGCTAGCAATATCTTCTGTCCGAATGTTTCGAGCAATGCAATGACCACTTTACATCACAGCAAGCGCCCACCTGCCCAGCCAGAGGTCGTAGTTGCGCATGCTTGCGGGTGCAGTAATTGTGCAAGTGACAA